ATTATGCAGATACACTTGTTGATAAGGTGTGTCCCCCCTACCCCCAGGCAGTTTCCCACTACTATCACTCCATCCCTTCCCTGGCAGTTTCCCACTACTGCCAATCCTTTCCTTATAGTATTACGATATTATTCAAGGTCCGTTTATGAGTGAGAACATATGATACTCAGTCCTTTGTTTCTGTGATAGATCACTCAGTATTACAACCTCTAAGTCCATCCAAGTTGCTGCGAAGTTTATAATTTTGTTCTTCTTTATGGCTGCATAATATTCTGTCGTGTATATGTACCACATTTTTTTTTATCCGGTCCTCTTTCGATGCACAGCACCGTTGGTTCCATGTTTTCACTATTGCAATTAATGCTGCAATAAACATGCGTGCGCAAGTATCTTTTTCATAAAGTGATTTGAGTTCCTCTCACACTGTTTTCCTCAGAGGCTGTACTAATTTACACTCCCACCAATAGTGTAGAAATGTACCCTGTTCCCTGCAGCCTCTCCAGCATCTGTTGTTTTTTGAGTTATTGATGATGGGCATCCTGCCTGGAGTTAGGTGGGATCTCAGTGTGGTTTTAATGTGCATTTATTTGATAACTAGTGAGGCTGAGCACTTTTTTCATGAGCTGTTGGCTGCTCGTATGCCTTCTTTTGAGAAGTGTCTATTTGTATCTTTTGCCAACTTTGTAGCGGGGCTGTTTTTTTTCTTTTTGGCAAATTTGAGTTCCTTACAGATCCTAGATGTTGGGCCTTTGTCAGATATACAGTTGGCAAATATTTTTTCCTATTCTATGGGCTGTCTCCCTACTCTGTCAATGGTTTCTTTGGCTTTGCAGAAGCTTGTCAGTTTGATGAGGCTCCACTTGTCTGTCTTGTCTCTTATGGCATGGGCACGTGTGGATTTGATCAGGAATTAGTTGCCAGTTCCAATTTCCATAAGGGTATCTCCTATGTTTTCTTATAGTTTGGGGTATTATGTTTAGGTCTTTGATCCATTTAGATTTGATTTTTGTGTATGGTCATAGGTAGAGGTCTTGTTTTAATCTCCTGCATGTGGTCAGCAGTTTTCCCAGCACCATTTACTGAATAGGTTCTCCTCTCCCCAGTGGTTGATGGTGAAGGTTTTATCAAAGATGAGTTGGTTGAGAAATTGAGGTTTTGTTTCTGGAACCTCGATCCTGTTCCATTGGTCTATATGTCTGTTCTTGTACCAGTACCAGACTGTTTTGATTATTGTAGCTTTATAATGAACTTTAATGTCTGGGAGCATGATGCCTCCTGTTTTGTTTTTTGTTTGTTTGTTTTTTCCTGAGAATTGTTTTAGCTATTCGTGGTTGTTTATGTTTCCATATGAATTCCTGTATTGTCCTTGGAATTACATTTTCTAAAGGAAAAACTTATGCCTCATTACCATTAAGAAGATATCTCTCAAATTCTCACCTATAATGATGATCTGACTGGGATGGAACCTATTACCTTCTAGTATCTAGAACATGTGTGTGTGTGTGTGTGTGTGTGTGTGTGTGTGTGTGTGTGTGTGTGTGTGAACCCAAGCATACATGCAAAAGTTCAGTGGAATTTCACTATGGTTAACATTAGCCTGTCTTAATTATCTCATTTCTTCATCTCTCTCATCTTGAGCATGTTATCACATTTTAACTCATCCTCCTCTTTAATCAGGCATTTATGAAGTCTCTGTGCTGTATCTGGTACTGTGCCTGGTACCCTAGATGCAAAAATGATTTCTTTCTTCATTTATTCCAAACTGTACCATTCCATGAGGATTTTAGGACGTGCAAACCTAAGGATTCCTACCCTGGAAGGGCTTACAGTCTTATTTTCTTTGCCATTTCCAAAAAGTCAACTCTTAAAATTCATCTGTTATTTATTAAATGTCCAATCTTGTTATATAAATACTTCACCTTATTTGGAGCTAAGAACAAAGCACATAATTCCTCTTGAATCGATTTTTCTAGCAGACCTCTTCTATCTGGTGTCATGTCAACAGATATGGATTCAGGCCAGAGCCACCTGTGTTACACTTGTCTAAATATTGGAGTTTGTAATTACCCGAGAAGAACAGAGTTCATGTTTCTTCAAGTCAGTAGCTCTTTTTTCTCTGACATAGCAAAAATGCACTGACACACTTGGAGAGGCAAATTTTACAGACAGAATAAGAATACATGTGAAAATAGTTGGAAAAGTTTAAAGTCTGATATAATTTATCATTATAATTTTTAAAATCAGTAGACTTTGAAATGTTGACCTCTGGCTTCAAAGATTTAAACCGTTGGAAAAGAATGTTTTATTCCACAAACCACAGTTGGCCAAATTGTAGCCCTTTTCTTAATGTGCTCTTTAATTTCACTAATATGGAGCTCTTTAGATGACCTTATTTGACTTATTTGAACATTAGCATACACATCTTTTTAAATATGGAGCTTTGGGGTCAAATGCCAAGAATATCATCTGAATCTGATTCTATATCAATAAGACATCTGATTATGGTTTTGATCCCAAGGATGGTTGAGGCCATTTTTAAAAAACAAAAACAAAAACAAAAATTTTAGCAAGGATTATAGTGTCTTAGGTTGAGCTGTCCTAGTGTAGACATTAAGACAAAGATTAGAAAGCAAGCAGCTTATTTGAAAAATGATTCCCAAGAAATACTGGTAAGGGAGTACAGAAGAGAGACATGAAGAAGACGGATGCAGTAAAGATTATCACTTGCCAGTGTGAGCAACCAAGGGTCTGGTTATCTCGGCAAAGTAGGAAGTCAGAAAACAGGCCTCAGTTGTCCCACTTGCCTGATAAGAATGTTTGGCTACTTAACGTCCAGTTCCTTTGAAAAAGAATAACTTGCTGAGAGCTGTTCCCAGGGACACTAGGCCCTTGGGAAAATAATTATAAGTGCTCACAGTCTGCCTCCATTGGCATGTATGGGGAAAGGTGAGTGCCCAAGGTATGTATGGCTATAAATAGATGTTCTGTGGGAACTCCATGGCACCAGTTTAATTCCTTCATTAGTTTTCCGTATAGAATGACCAAATAGGATTCTTCCCTGGTTTGGGTTTTGTTTTCGTTGTTTTCTACTTTCACTTCTATTCTACTAGAATTAACCAATCAGAGTTTTAATTATTGTAAGTTTTCTTCTGTGGTCCCTGCTTCTACCAAGTCCAGTTGTCTTACTCTGTTGCCCAGACTGGAGTATAGTGGCACGATCATGGCTCACCACAGCCTTGACCTCCTGGGCTCAGTTAATCCTTCAACATTAGCCCTCCGAGTAGCTGGAACTATAGGCACACACCACCACACTTGGCTTTTTTTTTTTTTTTAATTATGATTTTTTTTGTAGAGACGAGGTCTGGCTAATGTCGCCCAAGCTGGTGTTGAACCCCTGGGCTCAAGCAATTCTCTCGCCTCGGCCTCCCAGAATGCTAGGATTTCAGGTGTGATTCATCACACTCGGCCCGGTTTTCTTACACGGAATTTTTTCTGCAGACATAGCTGTTTTCATTTTCTTTTGTGTTTTATTGCTTTCACCAGGAATAACCATTGTAAATTAGATTAAGTAAAGCTGATAGTTTGACTAATCATTGAGCAGTTGTGAGCATTCCCCCTTAACTAGGCTAAGGTTGCTCCATCTCTGTAACCAGCTCCACCATTTACTTAGTTGTGTGGACGGTAGAAAATTTATAATTTAGGCTACTTAAGTCTCAGTCTGCTCATTTGCAAACTTGTGCTCAGAATAGAGACATCCTAACTTTATGTTAGGAACCAATTCAAGTAAATCCTTTAGAAGAATTCCTGGCAAAGAGAAAGTGTTCAATGTGCCACTCATTATTGTTGTGGTTACTGTTATGTAAGGTTATGATAATGGTATGTTCTCACTCACAGGCAAGCCCTGATCACTGGTCACATGAGTACAAGGGTGGGATCAGCAGACCGTGGACATGGCTAGGGGAGAGAGGAAGGGTGGGAGGAGGGAGGAGGGAAGGTGACAACACACTGAACACCTGAGCACCTACTTTCAGGGGAAGAGAGAGGGCCAGCTAGAAACCCAGACTTTATCTGCATGCAAATTATTTATGTAGAAAACTCTCACTTGTATGCCACAACTCTATATAAATTAATAAATATAAATAAATAAATAGTCCCACTTCTGGGTCAATAATCTTTCGCAACGGGGTTTCGTCTGATGAGGAAATGATAAGACAATTTGTATAATGAGCCTGTTACCTAGTAGACACTAAGCACATGCCCCTCCCCCCCTTTTCCTTTCCTTGGGATGTGTGCCTTAAGTGTGGAGGATGGGGAAAATGGTGTCACTTTGAGTTTCTAGAAAGTTGGCCTTCCTAAATGCAGAAGAGTATGAGATTTACTGATGGACATGTCATATCAAGTTGATGTGATGCTCCGATATCCTTTCCAACTCCCTTAAGAAAAGTTTGATGTGATCTTCTTATTTTTGTGGTTCTCATCCTACAATCAGCACTTACAGATTGAGAGCATGTGCTACTTACGATTATGAGCTTAATAAATTATTTCTATAAGATTGTGCTTGTCTTTGGAGGCCAAAGCAGGAGGATCACTTGAGGTCAGAAGTTTGAGACCAGCCTGGGCAATATAGCAAGATCCTATTTCTACAAAAAAAATAAATAAATCAAATTACCCAGGTATGGTGGTTCACGCCTATAATCTCAGCACTTTGGGAGGCTGAGGCAGGAGGATCACTTAAAGCCAAGGGTTTAAGACCAGCCTAGGCAACAACAAGACCTCGTCTCTAAAAAAAAAATTTTTTTTTTAATTAGCCAGGTATGATGGCTCATACCTATAGTCCCAGCAACTCAGGAGGCTGAGACAGCCTGAGCATTGGGAGGCTGCAGTGAGTGTGGTCAAGTCACTGCACTTCAGCTTGGGCAACAAAGTGAGATCCTATCTCAAAAAAAATTATTAAAAATAAAAAGAGCTGTGCATATGTTTTGTCTTTTTGTCTTTTTTAGATTTGATTGTAGGTGCATTCGGAACAGGAAAGGTTGCTGTTTACAGGTATGTGGTTGGTGGTATGCAAGTATTCTTCATTTTCTTTTTGTTGTTAGTTTTGCCTTATTTTAACTGCGTATTCTAGAGAATATTTTGATATGTCTTTTAAAGTCTGGAGGTATTTTTTGCTCTCAGTTTTTAAACTTTTTTGCCGTCTTTGTATTTTTATCCTTTTACCAAACTTCTAGACCCTACAAACATGACGTGAAAGTTAAATCAGATATAAAACTCAGCAGATCTCATAAAATGACCCACTTTTTAGATGTGACTGTATTCGATTTATTTTTTGCTTTGAAAATGTGTTGAAATGCCCACTTAGAAATAAGGGATGCAGACTGGAAGAACATTACTACTTGTCCTAGCTTCTATAATCAAACTGGACGCTAAGTTAGGGAACAGAACATACCAGAAATTGGTAGTCTCCAAAAGCAAGTATTGAAAACAGTTCAAATATAGCAGCTATGGATTCAAAGCCTGACCATTCTGTACACTCACTGATTTATAATCTTGACTTTCCTATGACTATGACTTTCTGAGCTTCAGATTTTTCATCTGTAAAAGGAAGATAGCAATACTTTATAACATTACATTTGTTAAAAGGATTCAGTGAGAATTTGTATATGAACTACACAGAACAGTAACTTTGGTGCTCAAAGTCCTTAAGTTCTTTTCTCAAAAAAAATTTATAGGAATTTGGCCAGGTGTGGTGGCTCACACCTATAACCCCAGCACTTTGGGAGCACGAGGCAGAAGGATTACTTGAGCCCAGGAGTTCAAGACCAGCCTAGACAACATAGTGAGCCCTCATCTTTACAAATAATAATAATTATTATTATTATTTTATTTATATATATATATATATATATATATATATATATGTTAATTAGCTGGGTGTGGTGGCATGTGCCAGGAAGCTGGGATGGAAGGATCGCTTGAGCCCAGGAGTTTGAGGCTGTGGGGAGCCATAATCGTGCCACTGCACCCCAACCTGGGCGACAGAGTGAGACCCTGACTCAAAAGTATATATATTTATAGGAATTCAAGACATTACTAGGTCAGATGTCAAAGCAAATGGCCCAGAGCTTACCTGGGTGTACAGCCATGTAATACTAACCTCATCAACCTCCAGAAAGATGCTAAGGTTAGGTAAGATTTTCGTCAGTCCCAAGATAAACTCCAAAAGGGCTGAGTTCTACCAGCCATGCCTAGTATCTCTTTCAGATACTAGAGAATTGGTCAGTTGAAACTCTCAGAATCTGAAATGTAGCACTTGGGTTTGTGGTGACCATATTTTATCATCTGACTTTCCAAGGACTGTAGCTAATATTGAAAATAAAATTATGTAACAAAGTGCAGATAAGTAGCAGAGGAACTTAGGAAAAACCCCAGGGGGCCTCACTGTTTAAGTTGTTTAAAGCAGTACCCTAAACAACATTCTGCCTGCAAGACACAGCCCTCCTTCTGTGGGGGAACAACTTTCCCAACATGTTGTTATTTCTCCCTGTCATTTGGAGACTGTGGCTCCCATCTACCATATCTTGGAACCAAGCTTTAAAAATTGTTCCACTTTCTTCCCCCATGATTTACTCTCATTTTATTATCCTCATCTGGGTGGCTGGAATTAGTTTATATCCGGCCCTCTCTCCTCAAATTTGGCTGCATATTAGAATCACCTGGAGAGTTTGTTTAGCATTCCAGTGTCTGGTCCTTACCCCAGAAGTTCTGGTTCACTTGGTCTGTGGTGGAGCCTGGGCCATAGAATTTGTTTTAAAGCTCCTTGGGTGATTATACTGTGCGGTGAGGAATTGAGAACCACTGTTCTGGGTGAAGTATAGAATTATTCTGGAAACCCACCTTCATGTGCTCAAGCTAAATCTACAAAGCTTGGCTACAGCATTAAAGCTAGAGTTGAAATAAAAAATTATCAGTCAAGGAAACAGCAACATTTGCAAAATTCAAGTACTTACAGACACGTGTGGCTATAAGATAATGCATTTCATCAAATATGGACATAGCCAACCCATTGCAGAGTAGTATTTCACGGCAATATTGCCACATTACCAGAAACCTGCCCCATTAAAGAAAGCACATTTAACATAAAAAATTTTTTTTAAAAAAGCGCATTTGTGAATGCAACTGGGCTTGATGGACCCACAGCATTCTTTATTTGTGTTTGTATGTTTCCAGATGTATTTAGAGTTAGTTAGTTGAGGGTGGTGCCCACCTGGTCATGCAGGGAGCAAAATTATTTGTGCAAAGGCTGGGAACGTTGGTGAAGGTATCTAGAAGGGGAGTTGTGTTTGCAGTGAAGTGGACGTCTCCCTGTGGCTCACATGGTTTATTTATTTATTTATTTTTTGAATTGGAGTCTCACTGTGTTGTCCAGACTGGAGTGCAGTGGCCGCTCCCGGCCACCGCAGCCTCGTCCTGCTGGGCTCCAGCGATCCTTCCGCCTCAGCCTTCCAAGTAGCTGGAACTACAGGCGCGCACTACCACGCCCAGCTAATTTTTTGATTTATTGTAGAGATGAGGTCTCGCCTGCCCAGGCGGGTCTCGAACCCGTGGGCTCAGGCAATCCACTCACCTCAGCCTCCCAAAGGCGCGGGATTACAGGCTGAGCCACCGAGCCCGGCCACATGGTTTATTGAAACCCACTCTCTGCTGCCTCCCTGCAGAGCGAGACCAGTTGTGACGGTGGATGCCCGACTGCTGCTGCACCCAATGATCATCAATCTTGAAAATAAAACCTGCCAGCTCCCAGACTCTATGACATCTGCAGCGTGGTGAGTTAGTCCAGTGTGTCTCAAACTCTAATGTGAATTCACATCATCTGGGTATCTTGTGGAAAATGCAGATTTGGGTTCAGAAAGTCTGGGGCAGAGCCTGGGATTTTGCACTTCTGGAAAAACTCCAAGAGGGTGCTGATGCTGCTGGTCTGGGGACCAAGTTTGAGCAGCAAGGAGTTCATCTTTTGAAAGATCTGTGGCATGATGCTGATCTTTGGCTACCGACTTGTTGTAGGAAGGCTACTTCTCTAATCTACGGGTTCTAGGTGAGATGAGAAGCAGAAAAATGCTTGGGAAAATTCCCAGTAAAACAAATCTTGGAGATCGTTTTTAGATTTCTGGCATACTAAAATAAACATTAACCAAACTAAAAATATAACAAAATACCTAGATTCCTGCATTTGTGTAGGCTTATAGTTATCACTTTTCAGACATATATAATGTCCCTTTTAAAAAATATCAAGTTTGGGTTAAATTACTCAGTTTCCCGTGCTGACAACAGATGTTAGTTTTATAACAACACGTACCACTGGACAGAAGGTAAACGTTTACAAAAATTGAGATTTTTGTGCCTTCAATTGTACTTTTATGGCCATGATCTCATCACTAGAATATCTGTAGAATTATTTCTTTGCCTGGACTTTCAGAAGTTGGTTGATACAGTTTCTGGAAGTGTTTCTTCTGAATTCTGTCAATCACCTGAAGGGGAATAAGATGGTACTTGATTATAAGACAGTTCAAGAAAATGCCACTTTGTTTCCCAACATGTGGGACCTCAAGGGTCAGAAGTCATCATGTTGGATAATGCCATCAGGGTCTATTCTCTGAAATCAACAAATCCTTGGAGAACTTGAGACTTGCCTTTATTTTCCAGGGAATGTGTTCTAACTCAGACAGTATGCTCGGTTCCTGAGAATGTCAGAATTGCAGAACAAACCAGTCTTGACCCAAAGAAGTTATCAGCAGCCAGTTTTAGTGTGTTGTTGATGGCCTTATGGCAGGAGTTCATACTGGCATCAAAGCTTTTGAGGGTGGAGGGTGGGGAGTAAGGAGGACCCTGAAGAATTCTTTGAAAAACATACTATTTCAGGGAACTGGGGAGTGGAGGGGTGGGGGGAGGGGATGTCCTCCTTTAACTGCTTTTGAAGGTTTGGAAAGTGCCCTGGGCACATTTTAAAATGGTTTAAAACCATAAAATAGTATAATGAAAACCTGATCTGAGAAAATATGTGAAACAGCTAGTATTTATCCTTACCCTGGCAGGATTAAATGAACAGTAAATGAACTGAGACCTGCTACTTGCTCATGAGTATGAAAACTTAGTATTTCTCCCAAATAGACTCATGTTCACACCTTCAGAATGGAATGAACTTCTAGACTAAATTCTTGTCAGTACATGTGGCACACTCTGATTTAAAATGTTGTTGTCGTGAATGAAACACTTTTTTTCCCAAGGATTTTCATTTATGGATATTTTTTATAAGATTGAAGTGGAGATTAGGGGATCTGTTTGTTTTTGTGGAAAGAATATTACTTTTTAACGAGAAAATGTCTTTCTTTTCACAAGCCATTTTCTTGTTGTATTAAATCATAGGAAGATAAAATGCAATCTGTTATGTGGACAAATGTGTAATATATCCTTTTACAATTACTTCTTTGATTCTACTGCATACATTTTCTGAAAGATGCTTTGTCTTCACATGCAAAAGTTTTAAATGGTACCTCAGAGTTATCAGAAGATGGCAAGTTAACAGTTTCTCTGATTCTTTTCTTTTTTATTTTAGGAATTGAGCTTAATTTTTCCAAGTGATGGAAAGGCCTCTGTTGATTTTCTTTGCTCTTATTTTTTATCTGTGTTTGAGAGAACCCTGTATTGTACATCTGAAAACTATTATGTAAACTCTAATTGGCAAATAGTTCTTTACTTCCATCAGTGTGGATTTCTGTGTCTTTCAAACAGCTGTGTGGTTTTATAAAGTCTCTTCTGTTGGCATTTCTAGAAGGAAAAAAACTCAGTAAATATTAATATATTTGGTTACTAACCAATTAGAAAAAGAAAAACTCTTTAGTGAAAATTTTCACTTTAAAAATGTGACGGTCAGTAACTACTCACTTGTGAAACCTGAAAAAATACTTTCCAGACATAAGGGACTTTTTGTCAACTCTGATATTTGCTATTGTTGAGATAGGATTGAATTGACAAGAATGAAAAAGGAATTGTTTTGTACCTTGAAATCATGTTTCACGTTTATCTCGTTGTGTCTTCATCATATATAGCTATGAGCACTGTCACATCACAAAATCGTTGTTCCAACTATGCTCGGGTTGGGACTAGTCTTAGAAGAAGGATCATGTGGTATATTGCCCTGCCTTCTAACCATATTAGAAGCACCATTCTCAAATAGTTTCATTTGATTTTATGGTTTTACTGGTAAAAATTTTAGTGGTTGATTTTATGTTTGTTTGTTGTTGTTGTTCTAATCAGACCTATTCAGATTAATAGGCCGTATTGAATATGACTGTAAATTCAAGTTTGAAATTTCAATTCTAATTTGATAAGATTTCACAGCTTTTCCTGATGACCCAAGTGTGCTTTATAATTAGATGAAGACCTGCAAATGGACCTAATTCTATGGTATATATAATGCATGATGTGTGTGTTTATCTATAATATAATATACATGTTTTTCTAAATTTAGAATGAATATGTCAATCCACTAATTTTTGAGATTTTTCTTTAAAGATAAGAATATTGTGCTTGAAAAGTTATGACTTGACAAACTCTTTCTGCTAAAGATAGCTATATACTGGTAGGTTTCGGTTAGAGTGCTATTATCAATAATTCACACAATTCAGTTAAGTTGAAGTGGTTATATTAAACTTGTATGAAAAAAAGATAAAGTCATCCAGTTGGTAATGAGATCGAGGTAACAGAACAGGGGAACTAAGAAAGAAATATATTTCTTACACTGACATATAATTCATAAATCCAGAGTAACCCATCAACTGATGACATCATTTATCAACCAAATACTTTTTCACAAAAAGGGAGTAATATTCACTTTCATAGCTTTAATGTATTCCTTTTTTAGAAATCTTATTGCTATTGAATTGTTTGTGTTTAAAATGCTGTATATAAAATGATTTCAATTTATATATCTTGATAATTTCATTATAATAGGAATTTATCTTATAAAAGTCTATACAGTGTAATGATAAATACAGACCAATAGATGATTTTAACACATAGCCAATTACTTCCAAAAAAAGTTGGACACAGGAAAAATTTCAATTTTGAAAGCCAGACTTACTACAACATTTAAAGATGTGATTAACTATTTGTCTTTCTTGAATAATTCTAATTGAAGTAGAAATGGGTTGGACTTGAGATTTCTCTGGGGAAGTGGTATAAACACTTGTAATAGCATAGACATTTCAGGAAACTTTTGGCTTAATGGTATGTGGCAAATTATTTACCCTGAGGGAAGACATTGACTGAGGTCACAGTAGATAGATGAATCCCAGATGTGACACTTTTTCATTATGTTTGACACAGGAAGCTGACACATAATTAAAGTATGATTAGGGATTATTTATTTCTTTTGAATTCTATAGAAATATTCAAATCATACTGTGGTATTTTACTAGTAAAAATTGTAAGACTGTCATTAAATCATACTTAAGTATTTTCTTAGAAATATGAAAAGGCCCCATCTAATGCTGGCTGTTAAGGCTTGGAATTTTTCAGGAGAGAGGTGAACACATTCATTCAACTAAGTCAGGCAGACATAATCTTCCATTTCCCATTCCTTTCATGGTCACAGACCAGAGCCAAGTGCAGGCCATCCTACAAGCCAATACAGACATTTCCCTTGATTGTGGTTATGGCGCGTTCAAGGCAAAGCTATAAAATGTCTCTTATGGGCATCTGTCCCCTCTTTATTGTTTTTATAGATCATGCCCGCCTAGCTAGAGACAGTAACTTGAGTTACGTGTTTTCTTTCTTTCTCCCCTCCCTCTTCTGGCCTTTCTACCTCCAGCCTTATTCCACCTCTAGCAAATTTCCACCAAGTTCCATCTCCTTCCAAGAAGAGTGGGTGATTTGAGTTAAGCATACCATGGCGCTCCAGGCTTCTTGGATTAAATCCACGCTCCTTAGTATGACTTTCCCTGTTCCCCACCAATCCACCAAGCCAGCCTTGCCTCCTATGACTTCGCATCCTGCTCAGGGCTCCAACCACACTAATGTCTTTAGGCTTCTCAGATGGGGCCATGTTTGGACTGACCTCCAGGCTTGCCTCTAGCTATGCTCTTGCTGTGCTACCTAATGCTTCCATCCTGGGCACATGGAAGATACCCACGTGTATTGTATTTATTGGATGAAGGCAGCAAGTAACTGATGAATTGATCAATGGATTAAATCTCTTGTAATATTTTCAAGTATTATCTTCTATGCAATAATAATTGAATAGTGTTGACTGGGGTGAAAAATGTATGTATGTATGAAGGGATCCCACCCCAAAAAACAGAATTATTTTTTGGAGGGCAAGCCCCTTGGAGTTTAGACCTCCCCCGCTAGGTAAGTATTCTATAAACCTATTGGCATCAGCGTGCCAGCTAGCATTGGGAGAGACTACATTCAGCTTCAGTAAATTTTTTTTTTTTGTAGACATTCTTTCAACGCATTTGCTCATTTCATGATGGGCAATTTATGAGCACACCTGCCTACACCACACTGAATGTTCAGCAGTTTTTGACCAAAAATGACATGGTCCATGCCATGCCTCACCCATGCCTCACCCTCCCTATTCACCCAATCTCACCCTGAGCAGCTTTTTTTTGGTTTTTTTTTTGGTTTCCCTTGCTGATAAAAGTCCTCAAAGAGAAACATTTTGTCAATGTGGAAGAGGTGAAACAATAAATGACAGCAGCACTCAAAGGCATCCAACTTGATGAGTTCAAAAACTGTTGTGAGCAGTGGAAAAAGTCTCATTAGGTGTATTACATCAAATGGAGAGTATTTTGAAGGTGACTGAAGTTTAAACATGTAAGAATAAATACATTATTTTTAAATAAATAAATTCTGGGGTTTTTGGGGGTCCCCCCTTTGTATGTGTGTGTGTATATATGTGTGTGTATAATTAGAAGAATAGAAGGTAAAATGGTAGGTTCGTTTTATCTGAGATAAGGTCAAAGAAGATTTCAACTTCATTTTCAAAACTTAATTAACCAATACATTATTGACTATTTTTTCCATAGCTTTTCTTTAAGCGTATGTGCATCTGTAGCAGGCCAGAGCATTTCAAACACAATAGGTGAGCATGTTTTCATTTTTACACTCCTATACTATACTAAGAAAATTGAACAGTAACCATGTGTCCGCAAAGACAATATAAAACTTTTAAAAAGAGTCCTTTAAAAAAGTTTCTATTACGTATATGGAACCTTCTACAAAAATATCACTCCAATGACTGGATATACTATTATCTATAGTATAATGAAGAGCAGAATGGCAATTTGTGTAAAACCATTGCAAAACAATTTTAGTCTGGAGAGTCGTCTATAAAATTTTTTCAGCCTATGTGTCATGTTTGATCTCAACTATGAAAAAACTATGTTTCCTGAATAAACAACTTGAAACAGTAAGTCATCTTTCTGATAGAGCACTGGTAAATTGAATACTTTTTCTCTCCTAATTATGTTTACTTTATTTCTGTCATTTAGCCCTGATGGCTGAGGTGCAATTAGATTCCCTGAAACAAAAAGGAGCCATTAAACGAACACTCTTCCTTGATAATCATCAGTCCCATCGAGTCTTCCCTCTTTTGATAAAGCGGCAGAAATTCCTCCAGTGCCAGGACTTTCTTGTTTACCTTCGAGTAAGTGTTCCAGAAACAACTTTTCTGTCCTCTGACATTCATATCCAAATTCCAACCGTTTTTCTCCATTTCATCATCATGTTTGTCTGCATAGATCCCCATGTGTCTATTTTTATTTTCATAGCAGGAAACTTTATTTTAAGGTCAAACACTCTCTTCTTGACCCTGACGTCAACTAACCTAACGATGTGTTGCTGTGAATTTCTAAGTCTTCCTTTTGTGTTGAACAAAATCTTTGTAATGGCACTCAACTCAGAGGGTTTTCATTTCTAACCTCCTCCTCCCCAAAAAACATAAAAGTTCAACACAATTTATTTGAATTATTATCCTATGTGAGTATGTCTTGTTAGATTTTATCAATGTGCATTCTAAAGCCAACTCAGGAAAACATTAAGGGATTCAAAACTTTTATTTAAAATAGTTTATAATTATCTTTTTAATGTAATGCATTTTTACACTGACTCCAAACCCTACCATGAAATTTGAAAAGCCAAAATATTTATGACAATTAACCACCTTCACTTTGCCAGTTGTGAGGTTGTAATAATTTGTCATCTTTTTCTCTCCTCCTTTAAGGGACATAGCAAGGAAAACCCCAAGAAAGACCACAGGTTCATAGCACATTTGAGAATGAAAAGTTGTCTCCATGACCTTGCTTTTTCTTATGGCCTTGTGTCTAATTATGCATCTTATGATGACCTTTTGTATCTTATTATGCATCTTATGATGGCACACAGCTGAAGGGTAGCGTGCAGTCTGCTTGCGTAGTGCCTGCTGCTTGGAACTGACCCCTCCCCCCAAGAGGAGTTCTGTTTCTTTCCAATGTACTGAAGGTGTTTTGGAGTTCACGCAAGCAAGGCTTTAAAAAGATGACAAGAGAGAAAGGGAATCAAAATGTTTTCTTCCTCTGGGCCCAAGAGACTCATAAATCCCGGCAGCCTCATGAAAACAAAAATTCAAATTCTTATGGCTTTTGTGACACTTATGGTAAATAAGCGTATTTTTTTACTTTGCAACTTGACCGATACCGTGTGAATCACTGAAGTTCTGGAGTACCCAAAGATTGCCTCCAGAAACATATTTCAATGAAGCCATAGCTCTAAGTGATTTCATCACTGAACATATATTAATTATGCTGGCTACCATATACTACATAAATCAGAGAGTATCTAAGTCTGCTGAAAGATAATTGTTTCATCATTCACTTTCATTGAGTATGGTCCAGCATTCCCTGCCTTTCAAACACTGACATCTTGCAGCTATTTCACGGACCCTCTCTTGAGTTTCTGATTATCTTCCCTAGGATGAAACTGAATTCCGAGATAAATTATCTCCAATCAACATTAGTTTGAATTACAGTTTGGATGAATCCACCTTTAAAGAAGGCCTGGAAGTGAAACCGATACTGAACTACTACAGGGAAAATGTTGTAAGTGAACAGGTAGGTCCTGGGAGGGCTTTGATGGCATTTTTCTCAAGCAAGCTCTGGGGGAGTGTTGTTCCCATGGCCTTAAGACAGAAGCCAGGGCCTTTTGTTTTTATTCCTGCACACAGACATGTAACATTTGGGAGTTTTTCCTGCCATGTTTCCTGAAACACTGCATCATTGTGTTTTTCAGAAGCCCTTCCTCTTGTGCAACCAAGATTTAATTTGTTCAAAATGTGTCTGTAATGGAAGCAATACAGCCTGTAATCCTCAAAACATTGCCAGAATAACATTTTTTTTACAGACATTTCAGAATGCATTGGAATTGGGCTAACATGTAAACCAGTCTATTTGGGGAGGTCACCACACAACGTAGAATACAGAACTGGGTAGAATCGTCATAGTGAAATGCAAGCTTTGGTTTCATTTGTGGCATCGTTCATAATTTTCAAGAAAAAGGATGCGATTCCATTTTTCCCAGATTGTTTCTGATGCATGTTTGCACAACACAGGCTCACATCCTGGTGGACTGTGGAGAAGACAATTTGTGTGTTCCTGACTTGAAGCTGTTGGCTAGACCGTAAGTTTAAATAAATAAATGTGTGCATTATATCTAATGGAATACAGGTGTTTATTTAAGGCTTCTCTGGAGAAAGTATACACTTCCAACAACTACAAAAAAAATATGCTGCGTGAAAATCTTGAGCTTGGCTACCCTTTGGGTTAGTCTGTGGTTTGGGTCAGTACTTTGTCATTGGTGTCAAATGACACATCCTAAGATTTTGCCCAGGCTGTTTCATCTTTCAACAAAAGTGGGAAAAAAAGTGTTTTTGTTCAAAGTAAACTCATGAATGGGGTGGCTCGGGTTATATTTACTTGCCTCAGTCAAGTGGACAAAGGAATCAAACAGGCAGGTTCCATCTCTACCTTTACCAAACTAACTCTTGCTGCACTCTGTGACTTGAAGCCATCCTTAAAACTGTCAACACAAAATTAATTTTAATTTACTGGAAAAAAAAAATGTAAATGGCACTCTGTGGAGTAAAGCAGAAGGTGACACAAAAATTAAATGAGAATGAAAGGGGTTCAAAGTTGCCATTAACAGAGGCCCCTACTCCGGCACCGGAAATTGCACCGCATTATGTTATGAAAAGACATAAGACTAGGATATAAAACATCTTATGGTGGAAAGAAGCAGATGTGTGCTTCTTTTCCTCCCAGAAACTATCTCACTATCAGGGTTTGGAATCTGCTTGGTAACCTCTCAAGGGGACCCCCAGAATTCAAAATTTATCAAATGTCAAGGGCAATCATTTTGAGTAAGATTCCAAAGTGGGATAGGCATTTCCAAACATTGGTTTGACTTGTAGTTCAAAGTGAATTAAGTTTCCTCAAAATACCTCAGATCTTTCTCTCGGCTAGTTAAGATCTTGTTTTACCTGCCTACTTCTCTCTTATTGTCTACTTTGCATTAATCTCCCCCTCATACTTTCTAAGCCATCTTTCTTTTTTTCTTTCTTTCTGTCACTCATTTTCTCCTAGTGTATGTTTTCAGTGATGTGCTGAAGCTGCCTCATCCTGGCTTGTAAAACCAAATGTTAAATTTGCAGGAATTTTGCTAGTTGATTGTTAAGCATGTTGGTAGCTTGAAATTGACATATAGTGGGTGAGTGTACACCATTCACCAATGGAATCTGAAAATACTATCAATCAATACTTTTTTTTTTTTTT